ATGTGGTTTCGCAAACAAACCTGTAAGCAATTCAGGCGTGTAGTCGGGTGCGCGCTCGATGCTGCTACAGTTCCATCTGCGATGTCGGAACGCCTGCTGGCACACCGTCGACGTGTCTTTGGCGGCTTGCACCAAACCGGGCATCACATCCGGCGTGGCCCTGCATGCCCTCGCCTGCTTCCTCTCCAGCAGACCCGCGCTCTTTGCGCTGGTGCACTCCTCTCTGGTCCACGTATGCGAGTCGCCGCGGCGACCGAGACCGCTAAACACACACAACGTTTTCCGTCTAAATATACGCGACTACCCATTCTTTTCAACTTAGAAAAGTAAATATGATTATCAATTGCCGAAAACTTTACTATGAAGGAAAAATTAAAAACGCGATGTTACATGCGTTAGAAAATTTGTTACTAAAAAGTTAAAACTGCAGTTAAAGTTCAAGCCAAGTGTAGATTCTTATCGGAAAAATATAATATATTTGACATGAAATTTCTCATAATATGTCACAAATTATCGAGGATTATATCTTGTATGTTTGTGAAAAGTCGACAGCAAATGGTCTCGTAGATGAAAGAGCTTTTAGAATGATGGTCTCGATTCTCCCCGCCTTCAGCATTCCGAAACGAAACATGCGAGCGTGGAATTTGGGGTGGAACACTCGTATGTACAACTCTGTCGGACGATCGGGCCGAAGGGCCGACAGAGTTGAGCGATCCACCTCTTTCGGAGTCCGCGCCGTGTCGTAAATCAGGGGGTGAATTTCGAAAATTATAGGGCGCGAGAGGCTGAAAAGGGCTCGCGTTTAAGTGCCGCGGGTTGAATGCTAGCGCGGCTGAAACTCAGCTCGCAACGCGCGAGAGAGCGCAAGTTGGGGATAATAATTACGGACACCTGAAAGTCGAAATGACCCGTGCACGCGGCCTCGCCGCGTCTAGACGTAACAACCCTAGGAATGGCCGGATCGCCAACCCCGTGTCACGGAGCCTACCCTCGGAATTACCCTATCAAAAGCCCGCGGTTCTCTAATTCGTTATTACCGTCGCCGCCGTCGCCGTTGCCGCCGCAAGCTCGTTCGTTCCTCCCGATGACATTTCGGAGCTCGCGTTACGACCCGACCCGGGGAATCTAGTTTCCGCGTAAACGCTCGCGAGCGTGCACTCGCGTTGCTTTACGACCCATTGTGAAATCGCGATGCCTTGAGCAAGACCCGCAGCGTCGTGATGGTTGGACCCCTTCCGAGTCCTTATTGACAGGCCTACCTTTCTCCTCCCGACATTAATTGCAAACTTGCGTCTTGATTTTCTTAGCTTCTTAGATTTTTGTTATTCTCATGGTCTGTATATTAAATAACATTTAATTCACAGATCACAGATCCTCTAAAATAAATATAAGATATTTTTGCGATGCTAAAATAATATATCTCGACAAAGCAAAAGAGAAAAGAATGTATTCTATATAAGAATGGCAGTAAAAGATTATGTCTTTTTACTAGAATAACGTGCGCGCGTTCTTCGCACGCACGCCTCGTTAAAAGCTGCACGCATGAGGGGCGCAAAGCTTCGCAAGTTCTCGAGCTTTTTTTGTTCGCAAAAAGAAGAAACGCAAAAGGAGAAACATTTCTCCGAGCAACCTAGGAATTTCCATGACGCTCGCAACTTTATGAGCCATAAATTTCTGATCCAAATTATCAGCTCATTAAGGCGCCAGTTCGCGATGATTACTCCGGAGTCCGGCAATCCGGCTATATCGACTAATGAACCTCAGTTCGTGCATAATTCGCTGACAAAATAATAAATGTTGCGTGCCGTGTTTTGTACCGCGAAGATCAATTACCATCTTGATATCTTAATTGACCGCTCGAATGCAAAGTAATTAAAGTCATCTCGAACAAATTCGGCCACCAACGTGGATGATGCTAACTTTATTTTTTTTCTGACGATTCATGTTAAGTACCCGGTGAAAGGCAAAGTATTTATTCATTCTTCAACGTCGTGTTATCTTTCCCGAGTGAATAAATATGTACATTGAGAACTGATTTTGCTTTCACTGTAATGTTCTAAAATTCTACATTCTAATGAGTAACGAGTTAAGAGATAGCATTCACTTGTCGAAAATTAGAAAGCACAATCGGGCGTTTTCATCGCGTTAGATTCCAATTATGGTTTCAGATACGCTTTGAGCAATATATTATGCTTTAAGGCAGCATAAGAAATGGCATCATTTTGAGTAGTACGTTAAGACAATAAATTAAGGTTTTTGTTTGTTATTTAAGATAACTATCGACTCTTCAACCTCAATTATTACACCCTTGAGCTATCTTTCCTACGGGCAATTTCGAGGCTTAACAAGGTAGATCGTTCAACACCCGGAAAGACAGTCGAACGCGAGATATATTTAATGAGCAATCGGTGAGTAGATAGCCACTTGCAAACAGGCAGCCAGAGTCCGGCAGAACGCATGACAGGCCACTTATGTGGTGTTAGATACGATTTTAAGTTGCGTTATGCATTACTCAGCCCGCAGCTTTGCGCGCCAAGTAATTTACGAGCCGCTCTCTAAAGACGAATGCGCGACTATTTGCTATCGCGCGTCAGATAATTAATTATTAGCAGCAGCGCGTAGAGCGTCAGGCCAATCACGATGCCCGAGGCGATATCGCGCAGTTTACTTTCAGTGAATTTCTAAGATTGTACTACACATTAACTAACGTTGGGAATATTAATAAAAGTTCGTCTGCGACGAAGTATTTGATCGGAAAAACATATACCTATACTGTTATAAAATATTTTTATAGCAGTTTTTATAGCAGAATTAATCGACTACTGTAGAATAAAATTTCGTGATGTTAGATTGGCTGTCAGTCTGATTAAGTAAGATGATAATAATGCACTGAGTAAGACATGAATAATTCATCTAATTGTAAGATAGATATCTCGGGGTAATAAAATGAAGCTCGTTACAAGAATCTATCGAGATCTCATAAGAATGTAAAATACAACGGCAGTGGAAACGAGCAATGTGATTTACGGAGTGCCTCGCTACGTGATATAATTGCCCATTGTAACGCAGCTAATAATTTACGAAATACAATGAATGAGTATCACGCGGGCGGCTCACGGCTAGCTGATCCCTCGCCACTTCGCGATCGCATTAATCACTATCTTCGTCATATAGGCAACTTTAACGGTTCCCTCTTGCTTCTCGATGTATAGAGCATCGTGCCATTTCGATGGGTGTCTGGCGAAATTGCCATTCTTTCGTTTTACTTCGCATGCGGTCGAAATGATATTCGTCCTTCGCAAAAATTTGGTTATGTTACGTGGAAAAAAAAACATCTTTTTTAGGTCAGTATATATCGTTCGTATATATTGCCTACGAACTAATTCTAAATTATTTTGCGCGTAACGATTATCCTTATAACGTAAAGCGAGTAAGATACGAGACGATTTCCCATTCCGATCTTCCACGGTCTTCAGACGGTCGCTACCGTCCAGAAAAATAATGACGTTTTTTACCATTTCACAATTTGATATCCACACCGTTGATGGTCTTATTTTACATGTTTTCACGAGGATCATTGGCCCTCGCGATAGAAGTTCACGGACGTTCACGGTGGGACATTCTTATGAAAATGCTCGACGCAATTTCTTCGTTAAAAAAAAAAAGGAAAGGTGCGACGCGCGTTTCGAAACGGTCCATCGACCGGCTGCACTTTCGAAATTCGTTTTGACTGGTGGAATCGTAAAGAGTAGTTTTTACGAGACCGATAATACGCGGGCGCCTACGAGTCTCTCCATTTGGAGGAGGCTGAAAGAGAAGCTGTTCAGGAGCGTATTCGGGATGATGAGAAAGGAAGTGAAATGGGCTTCACCCACCCTGAACCGAACGAGCATTCGAACGCAACAGATCCGTATTCGCATCTTAATACAATTTATTCGTTAAATTATTAAGAAGATATCACAAAATTCGACACATCTCGATTTTTCGCGCCGACAAATCAGTCATGTTCTTTTTAATGATTTTTATAATATTTTACTCTCTTAATAAATCACGCAATGTCGCGCTTCATTGATTGAGCCGGTCTGTTTCGCAATTAGCGTCAATTTGTTTGTAATCTCTTTGACATTGATGTCCCGAGTGACAAATTAACGAGACGCGCGGTTAAGATCTCGTCGCGTGGGACGCGAGTTCCACCGATACAATCCACCGCTGCTCCAACTCGCGTCTAGCATTAAGAATGCGTGATTTACGAGCGATGCATTGTAGAGATCGCTTCGTCAAGAATGATCTTATAAATAGCGACTCGCGTGTGATTCAGCGCGACCCTGCGGGCGCGCTTGTCGAGGGCTACGCGTAAATTATTATAAATCGATCCTTGGCCTCGATCCTGGCGAAGAGATCCTCGATCGTGATCCCGCTGAAAGAGCCGCGGATTGCTCCGCGAAAGAATGCTATCCGTGACGTCGTCTCGAAGCCATGAGCAACGATCCTCGATCTTTCAGATGATGATTAATGAGCCCATAAGACGGCCGTCCTGAATAGATCATCACTTTATTTTTAATCATGAAAAGATTAGAGAATCGTATCAGGAATACTGCATGCTTTGGAATGTAAGAATGATGGTATTTTTAAGAAATTTTTTCGTTTGTCTTTATCTGTATCTCTGACACTTGATTCGTTCGAAGCTCTTTTAGGTTTGAACTTGAAAAATTATCGGTGTTTCCGTTTTCAAAATACACATCGTTTCTCTTCGTTTAAACTCTACCGTTTCCGGATATAGCGGCACTCCTTAATGCAGAAAGATCATCGCCCAACACTTGCCGGGCGCTCCCTAAGACAACGGGATCGATGGCCGCTCAAGCCACAAAGGAAAAGCAGCGAGATTTCGGATCACCCTTCGAAATTATCCGTCAATGTCGGCCGCAATAATTATAAACAAGATAATCGCGAGGAGGCCTCGCTCCCGGGTCGAGTTCTTGGAAAGCGTCGTTTATAAATCACGATTTTGCGGGCAACCCCTAATCTTCCACCCCCGACCATCCTCGTGCCACTCCCCGATCATCTTCCTTTCGTATTGCCCCTCCGCACCCCTTAACGCCGTATTCCCCCGTATTTTGGTTTTGCACGCAAAACCACCATCACTCCGCCATTCATCATCCAACGCCGCTCAACCTTCTCTCTGTTTCCGCTTTTCCTACTTCTACCCCCTTTTGTCAGGGTGGTCCTCACCTCGCGCTCTCCTTCTCGCTGATGCGATGAAACTCCCTACGAATCGCACGACAATTTAACACATATCCAGAAATTGAGGAACCCTCCGGGGAAGAGGGTTAACCGACAACCGGCCACACTGTTTCGAATGTTAACGAGATGTCTTCCGTGCACAACTCCAGATGAGAGAAACGATTCCTGGCCAGGGATGATTGATAGAAATCGTGAAAAGAGTGAAGAGAAACAACTTGTAAAAGAGTCCTGAGCAAATTGAAGAAATGAAGAAAAGATAAATAATAATGTCCCGTAGCAAAATAATCTATAATGAGCTTCCTCGTTCGTTGTTTTGTAGTTATTATTTAATTTATTTTAGTCATCGATCCTTATATGTATGTGTAATCATTTCACATCAACAACAGCTAAATCTAGAGACTAGACCATGGAAGTTTCCCGTAGTTTGAAGGTGGTAATACAATTGAACAAAAAGATTCAGGTATTTTCTTCATGAAAAAATAGGCTCTAATGATGAATTCATTAGAGAAACATCGTTTCTGCTTTAAGATAAAAAAAAATGCGTAAAAAGACCGATACTTCTACTGCTGATAATTAAAAAGGCTGGCTGGTCTGAAAAATAAGAAGCGCTGCGATAAATTCGCCGCGAGGCGAGGTATCTCTAAAACCGGCGCTGTAGTAATCATCCGCTTTTCATTTGCGAAACGTATTGGCCGGGCTAACGAACGTGAAGCATCGTCGTCTATTTATGCAGCCCATAAAGCAGCACCAACGATATCTTTATTCCTCGAGAGTACGAAATTTATGTCGGCCGCGAATCGCCCCTAAATCTCGCCCGATCCGTGATCCAAGGAAAATAATGATCGAGATCGAGAATCGGCTGGCTACGTCTCCGCCCCGCATGCGCTCCCGAACGTTTCCCTCGGCCACTAATCTATTTGTTTCTCATTAACGGGCCAACATTAATCTTCGAACTCGTTCGGAGCCACCGCGAGCGAACGTGAGAGCGCAAATGGGACTCGTCATCACGAGGGTTCACAGGAGGACTTCTCGAATGTCTCTACTTTGAATGATTGAAGATTGCCTGCAAACAAACTATATATTTTTGGCTCGCCACTATAATTACGCAGATCCAACGTTTGTTTTCTCGACTTATTTCTTAAATAAAAGAAATTATAAATATTTTTATGGTTTCTCTAATGGGCAGACGTCTTTTTTTTATTAAGTGGTTTTAAAATCTACGTATTTATTATTAGAAAAAATTAAATTATCAGATGCAATTATACTCAAAATCTCGATTTTAATCTAACAAAGGAGATTAAATTGTGATAAATAAAAAATGACGATGAGCAGAAATCTGAGCTTGAAATGAGCGTTTAATGGCGTCAGTGCGACTACTCTTTTCGTTAAAAAAATTTTTTTATTAAAGATTCTTACGCAATAAGACGAGTATTCCCCGTTTCGGCCGCGCTAATCCGTTTGACATTTCGGAGAATGTCGAAATGCGTGGCACAGTGGTAAATTCTATCTCGCGGAGATTTATTATATGAAGAGTAACGCGAAATGCCAAAAAAAGACCTGGTCGAATAACATTCGTATAAAAATAAATTGGTGGAGTACTCACAGCCATTTTATACATCTGCCATCTTGAACCAGCAACAACACGAGCAGCAGAAGCCAGACCTTAGCACTGCTTCGCTTCTTTATCCGCATCTTTCTTCGTTTCGCATTCTAAAAAATTAACACCGTCGCTCTCCGTCGGGAATATCGCGAAGACGATTTTCTGTGTCCGCGCTTTCAAACACCGCCGATCATCCCTCGATGCGCCGTGACTCGCTTCGCAAACATTCGAGATCTCTTCATTGCGTCCATCATTTTATATAGCCGCGGGTACTATTAAAAAGTCACGATATTTTTTCTTTTCCGTAGGGAGAAAGTGAACGTTTTCAATTTCGAAAACTTTCTTTAAAACATTTTAAGAAAATTTTCTTTTCATTTATCTCGTTTATATATATATCCACTCCGAAATCGTCAGTCCTACATCGACGTCGTTACATATTTAGCATTCGATAACCAGCTCAATCAATTTTTCCGAAATAGACGTATTCGGATCGCTCTCAGATTAATTAATTAAAACCGATATCTTAGGAAACAGTGACGTTTCAAAAATTCTTCTCAGATATAAGATTTTTCCTCTTCGCGCGGTGTTGACGGCGACTCACAAATGGGCGAATAAAAGAAAAGAAGAAAGATTCGTGGAACACGCGTGTAGAGACACACCAGGCACCACTCTCGTTAAGATCGGCGGAAAACAGTACGCCTCAGGATCCTTCAGGATCTGCGGCGATTTCGGCGAACTTTCCCGTGCACCGTGCGTCCGGCTCGGCGGGGAGTCTGCGTGCTTACAGGTGTCCGTCGGAGCAGTCCCGCAGGATTTGCCAGTCGGTGGTGGTGGTGGAGATCCTCCTACTACTTCACTTCCTCCTACTTCGCCTCCTACTTGAGCCTCCTCTTTCCTCGATGTACGAGGAGCCCAATGATCGACACCGGGGATGCCGGTTGCCGCCGAATAAGAAAAAGGATCGCCGTCGTTAACCCTCTCGCTCCTACAAGAGAATCGAATATATTTTTTCTTTGTTTGTAGTATAAACACGATTTACTGTATATTCCATACTTTTATATGCTCTTTCTCATACAAGAATGGATATTTTCACAAAAAGGAGTTTCTCAGATATTAACGATAATTGACGATAAGAATGAGAACTTTGGATCAGGAGCTCAGACACGTAAATGAATAACGAAAGCTTCTTCTTTATTTAATTTCAAGTTTTTCGAATAAACTTAATTTTCGAAAATTAATTAGATAAATGTTACTCAAAGAAAAATAATTGCCCAGTTAAATCTTTGTTAAAGAAAAATTAATTTTATATTTTTATTAAGAATTTACAATTCTTAAAAGAAGACATATAACAAAGAAAATACAATTTTTCATCAGCCTCTGATTTACCTAGCCCGAAATACTGTTCATGAAAAATCTCGTGTAATCCTCTCAGTGTGATCCGGGGAGATTTTAATTGTCCGCCAACGCGAATTATGTTTGTTCCTCAGTCACTAATTAATTCTGTCGACGCACTACGCTTTCCTAGCGTTCGGTTCTACCGAAAATTATACGCCACGAGTAACGAATAATATCCTAAAAAAGAAAGATGAGGCCGGAGACCACCTTCGCGGGATTGACTTTAACGAGCAGGCGGTATCTTTGTGATCATTTATTTTACTACGAGGCGGAGCCAAAACAATTTATCCCTGCCTTTACCATTTAAAGGCTGGTAAGCGTCGGTGCTATCTCGCTTCGATTTGTTGATCGGATTCGAACGAGTATTGACCACGTGTCCATAAAGAAACTGTCGTTATAGGGAGGAATCGTCGTATTAAATCTATTTGAGCTTTTTTAGTAGACTCAATTATACTTAACGTGATTTACCCAATAGTGCATCTTCAAGATTAAATCTTTTCAATGAATTTTGTTTAATAAGAATACATCTTTTATGTAAAAATAAGTAATTATTTTTATTTTAATATAGAATTACGTCGTAAGTAAGTCTACGTTAAAGTTTCTTTTTTATATTTTGTTATAATTTTACATAATTTTATAAGCTTATTTTCTTTTTTCTTACGCACATTATCTCTTCTAATACGTACACGCATTATGTCGATCAATGACAAATCAACGTCACAATTAGCGCAAAGAAATTTTATCGAGGTATTGTGCGCTTCAATCGGAAAAAGCCGCGATCAGCCTCCTTGCCCCTCACTAATTACCGTGCCAATTTTGTCCACGGTGCCGGTCGTCCGTCTTCCTTCCCGTTCTCCTTGGTCGATGCCTTGCTCGGCCCTTCCGTTGCTCCGTTGCCGTCGATAAATAATCCTCCGTCAGACGTTCATTACGTCGTTAAGTTTCGGCCCGGACTTATATCCACCCTCCGTCCCGCACGCGGAACCCAACAAGCGGGTTCGCCCGCAGCTGTAACCCTGGAAATACCGCGATGTAAAAAGGCATGCTGATCGCGGACGCCAATCAATAGAATCGGTATTAATATTAATACGGGTAAAGAGAGTAACTCCTTGAAAATTATTTAGTCTTTAACAGGTAGAAATGATAGAAATTTAAGTTCTCATAGATAATTAAGGAAGTAAATGAGACTACAAATTGCGCAACCGCGATACGTCGAGATAAATTTTACAAAAAGATTCTAGTATAAGAAGCAATTAAATTTTTTTTAACTAGATGTCAAGTATACAGCTGTGTTTTATTTCGAGATTAAACTTGATTTAAATATGAGAATTTATTACGATTATAAGGCTGTGCGATAATTGCAAATTTTGTAGAAATGAATAATTATATAATAAAAGTATACTGTATAGCTTTCTTTTTCGCGCCACTAATACCGCCAACTCGATAAGATATCGCGATATAAATGTCTGCATTACTCTAACTGTAAAATCAGATAGCAGATGCCAACGCTCCTCGGTTGCTCGCAGTAAGGATAACTGGAAAGATCGAATGACAAGCGTTAGTTGCGCTTTCGCGAGCCTCGGAAGTGTGTAGCGCGCAAATGCACCGTGCAATTACCGTGGCAATGTTGCAAAGGTATTCCGAGAAACGGCGTGTTTCTCGCCGCGAGCGATCCTCGCGTGAGTATGCGCGCAATAACTTCACGGAACAAAAGTAGAAATATATCTGTTTATACCACTCGGTTTACGGGATGAATGGCACATTAACTTATATACTTGCGGTTTGCGCAATGCGTTTACACCTCATTAATTTAAGAACCGTGGACGAATGAGCGAACGCCGGATCCCTGAGAATTTCTCGCGCAACCGTACTATGTGCGCCATAAAAGTCTGTCTCGTTATTTATCGTTAATAACGCATTCGTCTAATTATCCTCTCGCGATCCCGCGAATAAACTCTCTTCATTTTTCTTGATTCCGTCCCGATGTACCTCATTCGCCGCGGATGAAGCTGTTCCGCTTATGGAAAAGAATACTCGCTTCGTTGAAATTAGCAAGATTGTACGCACTTCTGCCTCATTTTTTTCTGACTTCTAAATTTTAATATTTACGAAAAAGAAATGGAAAATTAAAAACGTCGGCTGATCAGGACGACGCGTAATGGACTAGTATAAAGATGAAGGATCGTGATGAGGCGTCTGTACCAAAAATAAACGGGTTAGAGGCACGACTTTATTAGCGGGAAAGTTAGCTGGACGAAAGAAAGAGAGCAGCTTCTTCGTCTCACGATTATTTTCCGGCATTATTCGCCGAAGAAGACATCGGCTATAAAAAAGGGACAAGCGGATCCGGCGACAGCTGCTTCGCTATTAAAAGCGACTTAAACTCCAAACCCTTCCCGCGATCGTAGAACGCGAAGGTACCTCTTCCCCCGTCCCGTCCAGTCACTCACTCTCTATTTCTCATCCGCTCCCTTTCGCTTCTTCTTGTTTCTCTTGCTTCTTTCCTCGTCGTCGTATCATCCCTCTTCTCGTGATTACGCGGGCAAAGCGTAAAGCCACGCGTACGCGTATACGCGTCTGCGACTTCTTACAAATAAGCGAATTGCTAAATGAGCCGTAAAGCCGAGCCTCGGGGATGTGAGAGAAGAGACGAGGGGAGAATGCGCGCGCGGGCCCCGCTTGGTTGGTCCTAGATTAGAATTTAGAGCCGGCATTCTCTGTCTCTCCGCGGTCCGAAAGCACTGCGGTCACGTGAGAAACGGCACTAAAAAACGTTTAAGAAGAATATGGCCGCTCGAAATATTAAAGAGCGAGATGAGAAATGGACCGCGAGCGAAGGGACGAGCGCGCGGGACGACTATAGAATTATTGCCCCCCCGCCGTTGTGTCTCGCAATAACTTTCGCGACTCTGTGGTATTAATTAAGAAACGCGTAGCTCGTTTCTTAGGCTTTATTTGCAAACTGTTCGACGCAGATTCGGTTTGGACGATAAACGAGAGACGCATATTGGTCGTCGTAAAGTAAAAGCTGCAAATAAAATACGTGAGCGTGATTGTTGCGGGATATATAAATAATTGATAAATGCGTAGAAACGTAAGACAGAAAAAATTCACGGCACTTTGTGGGTTTCCCCTCTCCAGCAAAATGGACGTCGCAAAAGTTCCGAACTGTCTATTTGCATGGACACGATTAATTAATACGATACCGGTAATTAAATAGATATCAACCTTCTTCGCGCACGACGGCAGCATCCAATCTGCATAATCTCTATACAATAACGTCAGTGAAAAGAAGAGTTTTGTCCCTCCAACGATAAACTTTTTGCCACCCACCCTCAACGGTCAACGCTACCCCGTTAATAAAGATATATAGGGTGACTCAAAGCTAGCGGAACGGAACGTTAAGAACACATTTTATTAAGATCTAGAATAACGATCAAAGAAATAAAATGATCTTAAATCGTTAAAAATAAAATTGTCTATTATTTGAAGTCTGCAATGTGTAAGCTTTACAGATAGAAATACGTGACAAAAGGAAACTTTAATCTTTATTGGCTTTGAATAAACTATTTAGCGGAATCCGTTATTCCGTTTGTTTAATCATCAAAATATTAATGATAATTAAATATTGCGACTATAATTTTCTTAAGTCAAGTATTACAATTTAATAATTTAGAACGATTTACAAAATTATTTATGATTACAATACCATTGCTTTTAATTAATTCCCAAGCTGTTTGTTACTTCTATCTTCTCAGAACACTTTCGAAGTAATATGTAATTCTTCCCAATACTCAATCAATATCAAAATCCATTAATATGTACATCTTTTCTTAAGGATTTATTGAACGATCTTTTTTCAAAGAATTATTGAAGAGCTAGAAGAATAGAATAGAATCAGGTCGTGTCCAAAGACAAAAAAAAGAAAGAAGGAAGAGCTCTTGGTTTAAATCGTGATTGAAAATGTGACGAATATGTCACTATCAAATAGACTCTTAAGATCCATCTATTGAAACGCGTCTCGACATCTCAAAACTGGTTTCAAGCTGAGTTCCTCGGCAGAAACGCAAATACGGGTCTACGACGAGGTCGAATTGAAGTCGTTATGTTGCCACGACGTAACTCCGCTCGTCGTGAAATGCATTTCGCTGATCGACTGATAGTCGTCCGGCAGCCAGGGCATCCAAGTGTTGTTAAAGTGGCACGGAAAGCCAGCCGGATCGACGGGTGTATTGGGCTTCTTCATGAGGACCGATTTATAGCTGTCGATGAACACGCTCAATCTCTTCACGACCTGCAAATGTAACGACGTCTTCTTAAGACAGCGTTTCTCGCTTCCATTTCGCCCGGACGCCAGATGAAACGAGGTTTATATAATTATATATTTGTACAAGTCATTGTTTTTTCCTAGCGAAGGTAAAGTCACAAATATTACAGATGCGTATTACGCGTAATTCAATAATTATTATTGGCGTAATTATAGCTTATCAGAGCAGAAATTGGTTTCTTGTCGTGAAATATTATTATCTAATCTCACCTTAGGATACTCCGAGGATAGATCTGTTATTTCGCAAGGATCTTTGTAGATATTGAACAAGCAAGTGCGGTTCATGCAACTGGAGGAATTCGTAAGGTTCTCGCAAACTATAGTAGCTTCTTTCCGGAGCTGTTTTATTTTAGCTGCAGTTAACACGTTAGTCGAAACGCTCGCGATTGCTGTTGCGGCTGGCGACGCTAACACATTCGTCACATTGTACTTGGGATACGACGCATCGTTACCGCTATAATAACTATAATGCTTCTGATAATCGGACTTATCTGTATAGAAGAAAAAGGATAATTATTCATTCATTATTAATTATTCATATATTTACTCTTAAACCGATCTTAGGCTTTTCGTAAAGCCAAAGATATGTATAATATGTGCAGAGAGAGAGAGTGAATTCGAAATTACGTTAGAACAAATAATAAAAAAGGTTACTGATTATTTACCTCTAGTGAGTTTATAACGTCCCATTATCGCCGCCTCGCTGTTCTCACCTTCCTGAATATTTACGAGAATCGATCTTCGTTCATCAGTTTTCACTTTCTTAATCGCGGACCATTGATCAATGCCGTCCAGTTGTTTCAGATCACTCGAAATACCGCCAGCCGCAGAGTATAGTGTCGGCAGCCAATCGGTAATATGAAACAATTGCGTCGAGACCCTCGATGACTGACCAATCAAGGGCGAATAGATGCACGCCGCGCCCCGAACGCCACCTTCAAACAGGCTAAATTTCAACTGCAAATATATTATTTCAATTTTATATACAATTTCAAAATTTTTAATAGACGTAATTTTACCTGAACAACTGTTTTTGCACATTTAATAATATTAATCTATATTATATTTAGTGTTACTGTTTACTATTAGCGATGTTAGTCGCGCGCGAAATCAAACGTAGAGTCAGTAGTTTCATTATTATTTGTACAAAGCTGCACTTACCCCTCGCAATGGATAATTGGAGCCGTAATTTTTGTAGACTCCTTCAGTCTGCGCTCCATTGTCGGCCATAAAAATTATGATTGTGTTTTTTAAAATGTCTTTTTTCTTTAGAGCGTCTACCACTCGACCGACAGATTTATCTAACGTAGAAACGACACCTAAAAATAGAACATACAATATTAAACGTTACAAAGTTAAATAATAAAAATACAAACACGCAATCAACATTCTTATCATAATTGAAACAAAAGTGAAGTATAATGTATGAGGAAATAGCAGATAATAGCAATTATCTTTTATCGGACGATTTGACATATAAGACAGAGGAAAAAAATAATTTAACTGTTGCAGAAAAAATGTTGCTATTACTGTAAATTTGACGTCAAACAGATTTTTGATAATTTGTTTGATGTTACAGTAATATCTGTTTTGTTAATAAAATAAAAAATTTTACTGACTGAGTAAATTTGTTTATAGAAACATATTAATTTATTATTAAAGCGAACAGTTTATTCGGTTAATAACAAATGCTATTAAGAAAATTGTCTGGTAGAAATGAATGAGAATACTCATAATGAGAATAAAATTAGGAGATAGAAAAAGTAGAGAGTAAATTTGTTATTGCAGCAAAATAATTTAAAGATCCAACAAAGCTGTTTCAGTTATTTCAAATAACATTAATCCTTTTAACTGAAACATTTTTGCTGCCCATATAGCTGACTAAATTTGCAACAACAAAATGTTATATTTGCTGCATCAGCAAAACTGACTATTATTGCTTGCAAATACAAAACGAATTAATTGAAAGATCATTTCATAATCGCAATTAAGTAGGACGCGACTTCTGATTTCGCGTGTAAAATTCATATTCTACATTGACGATATTTTTTTTTTTTTTTTTTTACGACGTTGACAATAAAAAAATGACCAAGAGGAATAAAAGTACTTACTCGCGTATTTTCTTCTGTTCAAATCTTTGATGTAACCGAGAGTAGCGTTTGTTTCTTTCCAATCGCGTACTTCCATGATGTCTTCAGCGTCGCTAGAATGAGGGGCAAGATGCGCTAATTGCAGATACATGGGCTTGTTGGTATTGTGTGACGAGATAATACTTTCAGCCTCGTCGGTTACGAGATCAGTCATGTAGTCATATCTGTATTCGACCGTGTTATTGTCGCCCACGATGCGATGCAAATCGTAACCCAGTTGTTCCTGTAAAATGTCATACCGATCTATACATATTATATAACGTATATTATTTAATGTTTATTACAGATACATATTATATGTTTATAACTGTGCAAAGAAATTGCTCGTGATGGAAAAACGTCAAATCTCTATATACTATCTGTTGCAAACGGTTTTACAATAATATCGTTAACTATATATATTGGACGTAATATTTTTATTATAATTTTATTTCTATTATAATAACGCTGTTTTACTCTAGCGACAATTAATTATAGAAAACTTACACTTTCGAGAAGTGTATGATTGTAATATTGAATATAACCGGTGTAATATCCCAAGAAAGTGTCAAAACCACGGCGGGTGGGTCCGAAATTTCTCGTGTGATAACCAACGTGCCATTTCCCTACGAGATGAGTGGTATATCCGAGTCTACGAAGGTACTCAGGTAGAAGAGTGTAGTTCAAGGGTATACCACGAGGTTCAGCTCCTTGCAAGGGATAGCCCTGCATGCCTACGTTGTAATTAATTCAGAATTTAAATTCTAATTTTAAATTTTTATCTCTACAAATAACTTTGGAGTATTTTTTGCGCTTCGTAATGTATAATAGTTATTACAATTCGAGAATTAATAAAAATATAAATTATACAAATAACGAAAAAATATAGATATAAATAACATTGTAAGAGTAAACTCTCTGAAATCACCCGTGCTCTATTGACGCGTCTTTCTAAAATATTTCTAGATCCCGAATTGAGAGATTATACTTTAGAATCTTCAATTCACATTAATAAATAATACGTAATAAATAAAACTTATGCGGATCTTGCACCAACAAGCGAAGTAAGAAGATTGTTGCGCGATGGTTTGCATCATAAAATCCAGCAGCGCGCCGTGTCGTTGCACATCATTTACCCGCGATAATTAATAGATTACCTGTCCTTATGGGATATTGTCCGGTGAGGAAAGCCGTCCTCGACGGCGTGCACACCGGCAACACATAATGTCGGTTCAATATTACGCCGTTATACGCGAGAGCGTCTATGTTCGGCGTAGGAATCTCATCGGCACCATGGAAGCTGACGTCATTCCATCCCTTAGTCGTTGAGACGCATATAAGACGTGTTTTATAATTTATCAAGATTGATTAAGTCACGTAAGGTTCATGCGTATACTAAATGGATTTACATCAACAATTTTTGGTAACATGAGTGAGACGATATTTTTCCCTGTTCGTGAAATGCAAAATCTTACAAATATTCTAATGTAAACGGTTCGTTGGTCGTTTTCTTGTCTCACTTGATTTCGCGACACTAACTAGCTTTCCATTGTATACACATCTAGTTTAACATTTCCGATAATTAAGAAAATCCAGAAAAGCGATGAAAGATACGTGACTTAAAGAATTTAATTTATTGTTAAATAATTTTCTTGATAACAGTGATACATATGTATCGCTGCAAAAAAACACAGGTCTTAAAATAAAGCTACTGTTTAAATCGTATGACATTTTTTATCGAGTTGCTATCGATTTTTTAAAATTCAGATATTCTAAGACTCTGTATACTCTACGAAGGCATTAATTTCACCTTCGTTACGCGGATAAAATAATTTCTTACCAAATCATCAGCGATAATAACGACGATGTTAGGTGCAGGCTGCACGGAAACGCAGATTAAATCAAAATAAAGGCACACGACACTTAAAACTGTCAGTACGAAGACAAGCAACACATTGTTCAAATTCATTGCTTTTACCAGTTCTTTTGTCAGTCCAGTGGAAAAATGACCGAAGTTACGTTATATCTGCACAATGGAATCATCAGATGTCGTAATGCGCTGTTTATAAAATTATGATGTGCAAAATAATAGCACCGACTGAAAAAAATGAAGAAAATTATAAATCTTAACAAAATTCTATTTTTTCATTATCTTTTTGTAATAATGAGATATTATGTTTTATATTTCTATTAATTTATGTATATTTAATAAATAAAATAAAATAATTTTCAGTTGATTAATTTTAAATTTAGAATTTTCTTTATTTTTTCAGCCGGTGCTATTATTTTGCACATAACTGTATTTTGAAACGTTAAAATTTACCGCGCTAGCGACTATCTAACGATTCTAACGCGACGAACGATTTATCTTTCTCGACAATTTCTCTTTATAACTAATAATAATTAGGGCAAAAGGCTTTCTGAGGAAGCAATGTGATAAATGTTATCTTATCATTTGATAGCACGCAGTTTTTAGCGACCTAATATACATACATATGTACATATAGACATGTGTACATAAAAACATACTTTTAGTTTTTATCTTTTATTACAGCTTTTTTATCGTTTATTATTTTAGCTGTCATGTTTTCGAATAGTAATATACATAATTTACGAACATGGCATTTAATACATGTGGAATTATATATGTATAACGGATACTTTAAGATACATTAAAAAAGTGTCCGAATATTGATTTTATTTCAAGGTACGTACACACATTTGTTTAGCGTATGTACACTTAGGTTACATACATTGCGGTTAATTATAAATTATTATTTTATTACAAGATATAATTAATAATAAAATATTAATTAAAAGAAAAGTACTGAAAAATATTGTCTATATATATATATATATATATATATTCTATGGTCTACCTTTTATCCGAATAATGTGATCAAACGACAAGAATCAAACTCCATGAAAACGCAATGTTGCTTTTAAGATCGCTTAATCCCACCGCAAATTAATTTATCATAAAGGACACAATTAGCAAAAAAAAAAAAAAAGATGAAATGATATTTCGTTAGATTGTTCAAAGTAAAACTTCCTTTCAGCACGCCGACTTTCGCTTCATCCGTTCTCGAATAAGGTGCAATAAGATAAGCTATCTCGCGTTTGTCATGCTTTTATATTCACAAATGTTTCTACAGCGTCAAAGAAAAAAAACATCATAATTCCATATACAGTAGTACATACAAAAAATTGACAATATAAATGTTAATTCGCCGAACAATGCAAATGCTAATTCAGACGTAGCTCACGTTTAGCATGTCTACGATTTATGCGTTGCCGTGCTGTAACACTGACGCGTGTCGTACCATGTGATCTTCTCTTAAAGACCGCATGACAGAAAAACGAAAATGTAGGAATACTTTTTTTAACCTCTATACGACTTCGAAACACCACGTGCCAACGAATTAGGTCCACTGTCCACGGAGGCGTTGCTGCATAGGGTATTAAGGCCATTGCGCACAAAATGCATAGCTTAGCATAACCGTAGCATAAGACCGCTAAACCAATGAGCATCCAGCATAAAGTCACTATATTAATTTACATAAGATGTTAATTTATTTAGCGGTCTTATGCTATAGATATGCAGCCTATGCAATTTTGTGCGCGAGGCTCTTTAGATACTCTACGCTTCCATGCAGCAACCAATGTAAAGCAATAGACATCTGTCGACGAAGCTGCAGCGTCGCGTTTTCGTCGCTGCATGCTTTCGTCATGAAGCCCGGCGTATGGCATTGTCGGTCGCCGGGCGTACATGTTCTCGGTGGCTAAAGCGCCGAATTTCAAAATATTTTATATGAAGTTTGATCAAACTCTTACCACAGTTCAACTGTGGCTGCGTTTAAATATTCACTGTCAGTACTGGAAATTTATAGCTTACGTTATGTATATCATAAATTTTCAGTACTGACAGTGCATATTGATTTTGTTTGTGAATTAATGGTACCATTTCCACTAAATTTTGACAGCTATTTTTACTCATTCTGTAAAATGTACGCATCGACGCTCCGTGGACAGTGGGCCTTAATCTAGAATCTAGACGG